ACTGTAACGGGAAATTTTAATATTAGACCCAGTGTAAATGCTGATTATAGCAAGAAGTTGCGTGAAAGAACGCTACTGGCTGCAAAACCTGAAAGAACAATAAGGTTCCTTGAAGAAAATGAAAATCGTGGTGCTTACGTTCCGCCCGGTGATCAGTCTGCAGTCAATAAATTCAGCAGCTTAGTCGTATGTATTTGCTTTTTTTTGATATTAGTGTGTTTATATTTTATAAACTCTTTTTTTTTTTTTTTTAGCCTAAAAAACCGAAAGTTACAATGGAACAAAAGACGACACGTATACCGAAGAATGAGCTCATAGATTCACTTTTTGGTGCTTTCGAAAAATATGCATATTGGACATTTAAAGGCCTTAAAGATTATGTAAAGCAACCGGAGGTAATAATAGTCGTGACACGAAAATTCTTTCTTGATTTACCAATATTAATTTTAAATTAAATTATTATGAAAGTCTTATCTCAAAGAGGTGTTGAATGAAATAGCAATTTTGGACAAGAAAGGTCATTACAACAACTGTTATCATCTAAAACCTGAATATAGTCAAAATATATCTGCGGAAACTGTATCTGTGGCTCCCCAGGGTGTAGAGGCACCCCTGGAAAACGTGAGCAACGAAGATGAATATAGTTATGAAGCGCCTGAAAATGATGAATTGGAGGCAGGGGGGTCGGATGAAGATATGTCTGATGATTAATTTGTATGGACGACATAAAAAATAATCTTGATTGAATATAAATAATTTTCTTTAGTGACATAACAAAACGAATTATATATATAGTATATACAGCTAAGGCTTTTTTTGAAGCTATTAGATCTATTTAGCGTAACATTTATAGATAAGGTAAGTTTAAATCCGCTGAAGAATTAATAACACTGGGTTTATGTATCTTTTACACTTTTAGATTTATTTTTCGATTAAAAGTATTTGCTAACATTATTTTATATTTATTTAGTTTAGGATTTAAATAAAAAAGCATTTTTAAATCAAGAGTTGTTATATATACGTATAATGATTTATTATAGACGTTTATTAGTATTTAATTTAAGAGGTTTGCTATTTATTACAAATGGTAATTATTAGCAATATAATAATTAGTTAATATAAAATTTGGTTAATTTTAATTATTTATAATTTAATATTAGAATATTAAAAAATAAAGTTAAAATTAAAATTAGTAATGAAGTTAAAATAAGGGTTTTGTTAATATTTAGTATAAATAAATATTATTTTTTTGTTAGCTATTAAAAGATTAAAAATAAAGCATTATATGTAGGTCCGGAATGGGCCGGGTTGGACGGGTTTGACTAGGGCCCATACTCGAGCCCAGAAAATATTTTTGAGCCCAAGCCCGGCCCAGAAAAAAAAAAAGCCCAAGGTAGTGGGCCGGGCCGGGTTTATTTTTCAATTAGGCCCGGCCCAAACACAGACCTAAATTCAGTACCTTATAGAATAGGTTCTGATTACAGCTGTTCTCATAAATTCTGGAAAATTTGGCAAAAGTTGGCCGACCGAATATTTGCCGATTCGATAAGCATTGATTTAGCAGTGATAAACTTTTGATTCGGATGTAATTACATCCGAATCAAAAGTTTATCACTGCTAAATCAATGCTTATCGAATCGGCAAATATTCGGTCGGCCAACTTTTGCCAAATTTTCCAGAATTTATGAGAACAGCTGTAAACCGGAATAAGTACATTTACACTGATCATGCCGAAATCAATAACTTATCGAATCGCAAATAATCATTCGGTCAAAATTAGTGAAAACTATATGTAATTTAGTAAAATTGGGAACCAAATACTCAGATTTGGTGACCGAATTTTAGCTTACTGCTATTATCATAATTCCTGGAGCATCTGATAAAAATTAGCCGAATGATGTTTCGGCCGACCCGGTTAAGTTATTATTTCGGCATAACGATAATAGTGATAGATTCAATAAAATTATAAAATTGTACGTGACTTTTATATTAAATAGTGAAATAGCGCATGATTATTGCACCGGCATTATAAAAGTTTTGCAAGCATTACTAGACTTTATGAGCCAGCTCTACAAAAGTTTGGCCAACATTATTCACATATAGGGTTGTGAAATTACCGTAATTTTACGTAATTTTGCGTAATTTTGTGTAGGTTTTTTGTAAAACGGTTTCCATGTAATTAGTAAAAAGGTTTGAAACTCGCAAAATTACACAAAATTACATGAAAATGTAAGATTGTAAAATGTAATTTTCAACCCTATTCACATATTCACATAACAAAAATTACATGAAATTTTGACTTCAAAAACTTATACAAACTTATGCAAAATTATAATAATTTTCTATAAAACATGCTTTTCACCTTTGTTTGATAGCTCAAGATTTCTACAAATGTTCTTAAGATCACTCTTTAATACATTTGGGTTCTATTCCCTCTTTTTTTTTTTTTTTTTGGAAGGTTTCTAAAACTATGTGTTTTTAATACCTGTTTTGTTTATTTATATTAGCTTGCTTTTTTGTGGATCGATATCCATGTATTGCTTGACCACCTAGATGCAAAATCTGGAATTCCAGGAACGAATTTATATACAACGGTTAATAATATTTAATGTAAGATCCGTATTGAATGATTCACTACCAAGTGGTTTTCGTTCAATTAGCCATCTCTGACATAATAACACCAAGTTGTATATGTTCTTCATTTGTGTGAATGCTTCTTGCAAAACATTAGGAGTAACATAAATTAAGACTCAACTCTATGCAATCTCTGTAAATTATATATTTAGAGTGAATCGATCTTTTTAGCGTATTGTATCGATTACACTGTATATATCTTTCATTATAATAACTTGCTTAACCTGTAAATTTTATATCTGTTAAGTTCTGTAAACTGAACATTTGCACTTAATGGTATACATGATTGTACTTATCTATATTTATATTCAACCTCTCATTCATTTTTGTACACATAACGTATTTCATCTAACCAGACCGCTACAAATCCATTACTACCCTTCTGAATATTCTCTGATCTATTAAAAGAAATCTATTTGATTTTGTCCATATAGGATGTGGCTTAAGTTGAAATTCTTCAATATAATCATCGACATCCTTATTTCCGCTCATCCATCATATACTCATCCGTTGTATTGTTTTTGAGTTAGTCCAATTACTTTAATTTTACTATTTGACTATACATTTTCTTTAAATTCTTTTAGCATGTCTTTATAGATGGGATATTGTATACTGTCTAACCATGTTGTTAAAAACTTGTCGTCTCATTTCGAATTTATCTAATCTGTTGGAGGAATTCATTCGATATTTCATAAAACGTAGTTTTAAGTTGATGCAATTATCGATGTTCTTATTTTCTGTTCTTGTACTATTTTCTGTGGTCGCATATTTGTCACCAAGCTGGTTCTGTGTTATATCAGTTACAATTCGTACATTTTCTTTATATGTTTTATTATGTTTTTATTGCATTTGAGCACTACGAAAGAGCCAGACTAAAGTCGGGCAGCAAAGAAAAAAGGTACTATCGATCTCAATCTTTTTCCCTTAACTTTATATTGTAACTTAATCTTCTTATCTTCCTTCTAATCTTAATTAGCAACCAGAGCATGACTATCGTCATGCATTAGATTAAAATCTTATTATTATATGTTAAATTTTTTATTTTACATCTCATTAACTACCGCAAATGTGAAAACATTGGCATGTAAATTACTAAGTATCCAATTAAATAGACAGATTTGTGACATCATTTCACTCTCTATATAACCAATACTTCGATTATTCTATCTCTAGAATATTAACAGGGTAAGTTTCTACAATGACAAGCTTTACTTTTTTTGTGTAAATCAAAATCAAATAAAATACAATAGTTTAACAAAAATAGAAAATTCATGCTGGTATCATTAACTTAGCATTATATATAAATAGTTTATATTTTTAGGCATCACTGTTATAACCCCTCTAGCTCACCCACAAATTTTTTTCTGGCACGTGATTTTAGCCAATTAGATTGAAGGATTAGGTGTAACATGAAAATTATGCCTTTTACAAAAATCACCAATAACTCGAAATTTTGTTTATAAAATTGCTTTATATGTTCTAACAAAAAAAATTTATGAAATTTTGGTATAATTTATACCCATCCTCTGATCTTAATCCTAACCCTAAGATAATATTTATTGCATTAAATCTTTCGCTTATTCGATTGTTTTGCTTTCATGTATTTAATTGTTTTAATTTTACATTACACCTAATCTTTCGATCTAATTGGCTAAAAATTGTGTTTCAGAAAAAATTTTGTGGATTAGCTACTAAATATCACTGTAATCAACCAATTATAGATATATTAGACAATACTAGACTTGTTCAAAAAACCCAGGCTCAGTCTAGTGTTTAGCGGGCCTAACCCAAGCCTGGCCTATAAAGATATTGGGTCTAAAAATAAGTATCCAAACCAAGCTCAAACCTGGCCCAGCCCATAAGTTTTTGGGTTTGACCTAGCTTATTCTGAACCTTAATTATATGGAGTTTGTCTTGAAAATCACATTATAGAACATATATAATAAATTATATATTTATAACTTAATTTTCAAAGCAAAAACTTCATATATATACAGTATATAAAAATTTACAAAAACTTGTTTATCTTGTGACCCAGTAGTTCAAATTAGATGATTTTAATACAATTAGATTTGTCTCGATAAGACGAATCTAATAGTACCAAAATTATCTAATTTGGATTACTAAATCAAAAGATATAAGCAAAAAAAATTATTAATTATATAGTATATAATTTTATATAAAATACAATAATATAACTAATAGTTTTTTACCAATATCTTTTAATCCCATAATCTAAATCGAATAATTTTGATATTGTTACAGTACCGTGGCCTTCTTAACAGCAGTACTATAATAATGATACGGCTACAGGGATCGTTTACAGGTTTATAGTAGTAT